ATATAACACTAATTTGACCACCATCGCTTGGTTCCTGCAATTTTCATACAGATTCTGTCAAAACCAAAAACATACAAGTCTACTAAAGTGAAACAACAATACAAAAAACTAAGATCAAAGTATTTGTCAATGCTAGCAGGGGCACAAGCAAAAACCACTAGAGATAAGTTTATCATTTTCGTTTACTGCATTGGCAATAATGTCACAATACTATGGTTAGCAGGAGATGAAGGGGGGTTCCACACATGGGGTGTCTGGGGAAATTAGATATCAAATTACTATTCAACTCATCATCTTCGTAAAAAATGGGTTCTATGAATAATATCACCCTATATGGAGAGTACATGCAAAGCAAATCAAAATTAAAGAGCCGTATACTATATCTGAGCGCTACATCATAAAAACTGGGCATAAATATGAGTTTCATTGAATTTTTAAAACCCTCCACGGGTTCCCTTGAATATTAATTTACATGAAATATATTTGTATTTGTGCTTATATTGCAGTAAACTGTAGCTCTAAGTCATCATTATAAAACATTATTCAGCAGTAAATCGATTTTCATCTTACAGCACTAAGATTAACTGTATGGTAAATGCATACCATTCACACCACTTTAAAATTTAGTGTACAAAAAAAAAAACATCAATTTAATTTAAGTATTATCAACAAACAATATTAGATTTTCTATAAAATAAAATAGCAAAAAATGCCCTAAAAATTCAAATACTGCACCTATCACAGGATTTCTCTCCATTATCAACCTTCGAGAACTTATGCTTAATGCTCGAAAAGAGAGAGGGTCTGCTGATGTCATCTGCATGTGCCGCCAAGTTTGACGGAAACCTCTGACGTGGCACCTTTTCCGGCGGAGTGTCTGTTCCTCTGATTTCTTCTGTGGATGCGTCAATTGTGGATGGTACGGTAGGTCGATTAGCTACTCCGACTTTCTGGTTTCGTTGTTTTGGAGGAAGATGAGGGGCTTGCCGACCGTTGAGTTTGTCTCCGCCGGATTTCTGGTTTTCCGGCGACGGTTTTGGAGGAAGGACAGTATCGATTTCTGACGCTGCATTGTTTGTGTGCATGTGTGTGTGAGAGAGAGAGAGAGTAAAGTTTAAGTACAACGTCCAGAGGGGGAGAAGATTAAGAATTGGCGCCAAATTTTAGCCCTTGCAAGGGACGAAATTTCGCTGTCGAGTTTCGTGTCGGCATTCGGCAATATCACACTGACTGTTCGTTTTGAACATTCGGGAAAATTTCAGCCAAGGATCAAAATTAAACAAATGAATTAGTGATTAAATCGACTAGTGTTTTAAATTATTATTAGGTGTTTTAAAATGTTTAGACATGTTTTAATCAATATTTTATAATATAAACATTTCAGGAAACTTTTTTATGTTTTGTTTTTGAAATATTTTTAAAACATATTCAAAATACTTTTATTTTTAAGGCGATCTAAACAATGTCCCAAACAAATTTTACCCCTTGGTTCTGGGTAGTCTCTATTTTTTGGGGCACCCCGAATGTTATCTTAAATTACACTCACATCCTGTATCAATATTGTTAGGAGAAAATGGACTTTCCACATTATTACTCTTGTATCACCACTAAATCAGTCAAGAAAATCACCCCAAATCCAATCCGATATGAATAAATGCCATTAAACTAAATTTTAGCAAAGTGATATCTAAATGTCAACTTAATTTCCTCAAGTAATCACTCAATTTCATTGTATGTATATAATTATATACATAGATATATAATTCGCATTGAATCACAAAAATAATGTCTGAATATAAATCTCTGAAATGCTAAACAATGTATTTGAATACCGACTAATCGGATTCAAATCAAATGCATAGGCCAAACCACCAACCTCCACTTTTTAATATATGTCAACGTAGTTTTTGACCTCACAATATAGGTATATTTCTCCTTGAAATGTTTGGTTCTAAGCATACAGCCTCTTACAATTGTTTCAAAACAAAAGTATTTTTCATAGCCAAACCACATCCTCTTCCATCGCCCAACAAGTGTCCCCCACCCCCACTAATTTCACCTTAACATCTGAACCCTTGATTTAATTTTTTTTTTTGGGGAGGGGAGGGGAGACTTGAACATTTGACCTCAAAAATACAAAACTTTTACAAGGTAAGGAATATCATTGAACCAAAGACCCGTTGGTTTTGATTTAACCACAGCCAAAAAGAATTGTATATGGGAGTGACAACAGCTTTAACTTGAAGATACTGGTCAATGGCTTCAAGTCCTAAATCTCTCCCAAACCCACTCATTTTGTACCCTCCATAAGGGCAATCCTGATCAGAGGCAATGTAGCAATTGATCCAAATGACTCCAGCTCGAATTGATCTTGAAACTGTGTTGGCCACATTCAAATCATTGGTCACAATGCCTGCTGCTAGACCATACCTTGTGGCATTGGCTCTCTTAATAGCCTCATCAACACTCGTGCAATTGTTTATGCAAGAGAGACATATAGATGAATTATTTTAAAAAATGCAACGGATCTATACTATATAGTAAAAAAATCTCTCCGGGGAGGGACATATCTAGTATACAGTACCTATATTGAAGTGGAAAGACAAATTGAACTTACTTGAACTTCATAAGTGATATAACAGGCCCAAATTTTCATCCTTGGCAATAGTCATATCATCCTGAGCAAGCCAGTAGGAGCAATGAAACAAGAAATGCACAAGTTAAACAAAATTTGCTGGTAGCATAAAAGACATAAGATTTGGAAATAGAAAGACGGTTAATGCTCCGTGTGCTTTTTTGGGCATGTTTTGACCATTATTGTAAGCTATCTTAATTAAAAAAATGAAAGTTTACCTTCAAATCACCAAAAATTGTTGGCTCGATATAGTATCCCTTATCGCCCATGGCCTTTCCACCACGTAACAATATAGCGCCGCCTCTCTTGCCATGATCAATGTATGACAGTATTTTATCGTACTGTTTCTTGTCGACCTATTCATCATCAAGTAGTGCATTATAAGAGGTAGAACATACTTACGTTAATATTCATAAAGCAATATCAATAATATGTAGTTCAATAAACTTGTTTTGTCTTTGAGAGGACAGAGAGATAATTAACCCTAAACATTTTCTTGATTCACTGTCAACAACCTGCTTTTTTTTCAACAAATTAAATGATCAGAGCAGAATTTTTACTTGGGGTCCTTGACTAGCAGAAGGATCAAAAGGGTCCCCAACAACCCAATTTTTTGTTTTCTCTGCCAATTTCTTTGCAAAATCATCGTAAATCCCTTCCTGAACAAATATACGAGAACTCGCCACACAAATTTCTCCCTGCAAACACAGGCAAAAGGTCTCGAATTATTTTTTTGTGTCGAAACGAGTACCTATAGAACAATTCGACAATTATCAATTTAAAAAAAAAAAATTATTTACAAAAGCAATGTGAATAGTTGGGTTAATGGGTTCCATTGACTTTCACTAACTATCTACTATTACCCGTATGCCACATCATTTGGTATCCAAGTTTTGGAAAAAATTATGATAAACACAGTATTATGCATATTTAACATATGAATTATATATTGTATCAAGTAATTTTTCATAACCATACCAAAGGATTACAGCCAAAGCAGCTAAGTTATGACTCAAACCGACAAAGTTACAACTCAAATCACTCCAAACTTTGTGGGATTAATCCCAAAAGTTTTGAACCTCTTTGAATCATAATTTTGACATGTTTGACTCATAATTTGACTATCATCGGTGGTAATTTTTTGAAAAAAAAAAAACAATTCAATTCATACGAAACTCAATATCCTAAATTTTCGCAATATAAACATAAAAGAATTTCAGTTTGCCTTGTTCCATAGACTGCCTTTGAGAACCAGATTGGCGGCTGTTTCAATGTCTGCATCATCGAAGACTATGAGGGGGTTCTTGCCTCCAAGTTCAAGTGAGACAGGTTTCAAATTGCTTTTGGCTGCAGCCTGCATCACTAGACGTCCTACCTCCGTGGACCCTGTAAAACTAACCTAGAAAAGACCGCAAAGGGTTAATTAAGTAGCAATTCGATAATATTCACTGCAATGAGATTCATTTCAATACATTTTTTTTTTGGTGAATTATCTACCAGAAATTCAAGTAAGACTCATTAATAGTAGATGTTTTGTCTAAGAAAAAAAATTCAGAAAAAAAAAGTATTGAAAATGATTACCTATGAGTGTAGGTGCTCTGCTTGTATCAAGTATAGGGGAACAATGTAATGCAAACATCGGTTACGGGATTTCACATCTTCAACAATTTTGAATAAATTTTTTTAAAAAAAATTCTGGTGGTAACGTCAAAATTACTTTGTCGATGTCCATATGAGAGCTAATGGCTGCACCAGCTGTTGGTCCATAGCCCGTTATAACATTGATCACTCCATCAGGGACACCAGCCTGAATCGAAAAATACAAAAGAGAAGGAATCAGTTTGCCCGCTTTCCATAGTTCTGGGCCGAGAGTTGGTCCCATTTGATACATAAGGGAGAAGAATTCAAAACAACATGGGATTTGCAAGCTTACAAGCTTATCCAAATGGGCATAGTATAGAGCTGAGAGGGGTGTTTGCTCAGCAGGCTTCACAACCATCGTGCAGCCAGCAGCCAACGCCGGGCTAAAAAGTATCCCGGTCGGATAGTTCCACGGGATGATAAGTCCGACCACGCCGATGGGCTGACGCAACGTGTACCCTTGAAGGTTACTTGACATTTTCAGTGTCTTCCCATGAATTTTATCAGCTGCACCGGCGTAGTAACGGAGAGTCTTTGGTGCAAGGGGAATATCAATTGCCTTGCCCATGCCGAACAACTTTCCTGCATCTAAGGCAGCTAATTCTTCTACGTTTTGTTCAATCAACTCTGCAAATCTCAGCATTATCCTTCCTCTCTCCTGATGACCAAGTACAGTCCAGGGAAAAAAATGGGGGCATATTAGGTAATTCATTGTGTAGAGGGTAACACCACTACATGTCACAAGTAAAATTAAACGAAAAGAAAGGGATCGTAGCTAGAATTTGTTTGCAGTGGGGCCATAATAAATTCAACCTAATGCTTAACGGATTTATTCCAATATTGATTTTCTTTCAAAAAAATTTGTTCATAAATGATTGGGAGAATTTCATTGTGCACCCTTAAAGATTTTAAAAAGTTCATTTTACACTCCAAAAATTAGATTTTTCATATTGTCCATCAATGTATTAAAAGTATTCTAATATAGCATTTTTGTTAGTTTCGATTATTTATTTCGTCAACGTCAATAGGGTGATTTTTGACGGAATAAACAATTAAAAGTAAATGTAAAGACTACATTGCAATACTTTCAATATATTAAGTACTAATGGGCTTTGGTTCAATGGTACTTCTGACCTTGTTGAGATCAAGGGTTCAAGCCCCCTCTCCCTCCCTTTAAAATATATATATATATATACTATTTTAAAATATCAACAAAAGTGAAAATTTTTGTTTGACTATTTTACCTTTGATCTTTGTTATAAAGTCAATTATATCCTCTCATTTCTTTTTTTTTTTTGCAATTAATTACATAATCTTCTCATATTCTTTCATCTTCTTAAATTAATTATGTGCATAAATTTAACATTTTATTATATTCATTTGAGTTTTAACAATTAATTTTAACCTTTAATTTTCATTTTTCTTGATCAATCTTATCTTATCTATACTACTAATATATTTCATAATTTATATCTATATCTATATTTATACTCCTATTAAAAGTCCCTTAACCCAATTTTTTTTAATCCTCCATCTATATTATAACCACCATAAAACCAATTTGTATCTATATCTATATACTTATATCTTACGTTGTTTAGACGCTTTCAATTCTACTAAATTTATCTTCCATCTTAATTATTGTAACTTAATGGCAATAAATATTGATTAATTATTTTGAGTTTTTCATATACTTATTCTTTCACAACCACAGTGTTATGTAGTGAATACACGGTGAATCAATTCAAGCCATCATTATTCCACACCTCAATTGAACTGTTTCTCCCCGTCTATCTCCCTTTCTTTCTATACCTCTGACTCTCATTTTCACGATTTGTCTACATTGCTAAGCAAGGGAAAAAATCTAGAAATTTTTACCTACGGCAGTGAATCACTATCACTTTACGAAGCAATGAGCCATTTTTAATAGTCTGCAACAAATGAGATTGAACCAAAAATAATCAAACACCAGACTCATCTGGGCTACAATGCTTCTTGTTGGTGTGTGTCATTCGATGTATGCTGTTTATTTTCTTTTTAAAATGTTCTTTAGTTGTTTTTTGTCTTTCCAAGTGGCTTTCTTGTGTTGGGGTTTGATTCTGACGAGACTTTGTTGTGGTTATTTATCTTTGACTAGGGTTTTGAATAGTGCTTAATTTTTGTTTTAATAATTTGGGTCTCTCAACTAGAATAATAACAATAATATGGGTCCAAGCAGACAACTTTTCTTTAACTGGTTTGTCTCTTTTATTGTTTTAGTTGTTGATCTTTTTGACAAATTATTATTGAGCTTGGTATTTGATTTAACGATTTTTTTGAGATTGTGGAATTAAGATTTGATTGAAATTATAGTTTTTCGATGTGTTTTTGATTTTGTGAATTATTGTTGACCTTATACGTAATTAATACTTCTATTAGTACACCATAGAGGGAAAAAATTCGTAATTTCCCTTTCAATTCTAAAAATTAGATTCACATTAAGGAAATCATGGTAGAGATGACATTAAGACCCAAGTTTCAAACCTTATAGCCAAGTTGAATTAATAGCATCAACGAGCTTTTTCATCTCGACGGTACGGATTTTACTATTCCTGGTGCTATTCTACCAAAATTTTCATTACTTGCGCAACGCAATATCAAATTTAATGAAGATTGAGGTAGGATGAGAGCTTATCTAAACTCGAAAAGATCAACCAAAATAAGATTTAGTAAAGCTATGTTAATTCATATCAACCATGTTTGTTTTTTTGAAGTGAATAGAAAAGATTCGTGTTCAATATAATTCAGCTATCACATAATAATTTCTTAATAAGCAATTTCTACAAGCTATGTGAGCAAAAGTCCCACAAGGTAAAAGTGGTACAAGACTGATGTGACAGAGGTGGTTGGCAAATGACAGAATTTCACCTTCACGTGATGGTTCCCTTGTCATGAATGGTAGCACTGGGAAAAATCTCAAGGTTGGATAATTTGGCCATGGTTGAATGGAACATTGGTCTTCAAAGTGTAAAAGAGTGAAGAAAGTGATTGACGACATCTTTTGCATTATTGCACATTGCTAGAATTGTGGCTTTCATTATTGATTTTTTTTATAGTGCAGTTGTGTTTTTTACAGTCAATGTTGGAGTAGTGGTAAAAAAATGGGTAGGAGTGAGTCATTGAAAGTAGTACCACAAAAGAAATATTATTCAGCATCCAGTCTTATTTGAAGGATGTGCTATTAAACTATTTGTTTCATTCGACCTCATGACAGAGTTTATCTCCGTCAACTTTGTTTGTTTTGTTTGTAGACAGTTGTACATATCCTTTTTTTTTTTTGTTCTCTACCTTTTCTTTTATATTTCTTGTTATTATACTATACTTGTTGGACTCCTATTTGGATTGTGCCCCCCATTAGAGCTTCCATCCCACTGACTACATGAGCAGGTATGATCTTTTTTCTTATTACATTTTTTAATTTGAAGATTTGGACATATGAGGATTTCACGAGATCTTTCTGTTGTTTTTAGAAAGGGTGGCATTTTTCTCAATGACTATTTGGTGATTCAAATATTACAATTTAAGACGTTTGAGCATTGCATGTGGTGAATTTTGTTTCTTTATCAAAGTAAAATTAAATTTGTAGCTGAATTTTTTATGAGTTGTATGTTTTTTCGTGGCAAGTGAAGTTGAGGGAGTTTTAAGGCTGCTTAATAGAAATTGATTCTTACAGTGTAATAGGATGGGTGAAGAGCAGACTCTTTCGGTCATGTAATTGTTTTAATCCTATGGCTCTTTTGGATTTGAAATGCGTATGTTCATATGAATATTGCTTGAACTTTTACTTGGCTAGCAATGTTTTGGCATTAAACCTTGTCACAAGAAATGATAGCAATTCAGCAAAATATTGGGAAGTATATAAATATGAAGTTAGCAAAAAATATTAGAAAGTATATGAATACAAAGTTATGTTATCATGTTATAGGACAATAGTTCCAATATTATTTGTAATTTTCTTAAATTACCTCAACGTATGCTTTTAGACAATTAGATTGACATATGCTGCTAAATTTCTTGAATCTCTTTTGGCTTGAGACATGATTGTCTCACAAACGTATTAACATCTTTACCTTTCTTGCATAATAGCTATTAAGAATAGCTGATGATGCAATTGATTTGGAGCAACTAGAAGAAGACACATATAACATTGTCCTTCAAACAAACGGGCACTCTATGAGATCTTTGAGTAACAAGTCAAGAGCAGGGGGATGGTCTACATAGAATAAAGGCATGGTTACTTGCCTACTCTAAGTATATATAGAATATTTATTTTAATGTTCTATTTAATGAATGATATGGCGAGCTTTATTTATGTTTCTAGATCCTTTATTGTTTTTCTTTTCTAAAATTTTTTTTCATCCATTATGTTGTGATGATACACAAAACTGTCTCGTGCAAGATCAATAATCGAGTATGTGATGAAATATAATAAATAAGACAATAAATAAAATAATTAATGACAAAACAGTAAATATCAGGTCAATACACAGATATATAGTGGTTCGGTTTGGGTGACCTACTCCATTCTCGAGAAACGGCGACAGTGGCGGGGGTTTTTATTGATGATTAAAATAATAGAGAGAAAGCTCCAGGAGATGTATGCTCCGGCAGAGGTATAACAGTTAGTTAAGAGAAGCTATGTGTGTAGGGAGGTGTAGAGAAGTATGTTGGGAGATGCCCCTCCATGTGGAGAGAGCTTATAATTTATAGATATGATGAGGCGGTGACGTGAGTGTGAGGGTACTACTTCTTCGAGGAGGATAGTTACAAAAGGTAAGTACAATTAATTCTTGTTTATCCATCCCGATGATCTTTCCCCCACGTTCCCATTCCTTCGTTGATTCCTTGAATCTTAGACTAGATCGAATTGATAAAACGAGCTTGGACTACCTTGTAGTTGATTTGGGCTAATTTGATTTTATCGGGCCTGGCCAGTTGGATTTGGGCTTGTCATGTTGTGTTTCTATCACAATTTATAGTCAGCCTGTATAGAGTTATAGAGTAAAGTTCACACTTCTTTCTATAACATTTAGTTTCTTCGCATGGAATTTAGAGTTGAATACAAAAGTTCCATTATTTCTTCAATTTTTGGTCATTTTACATAAGAATCTGGTTATTGAGACCTGAATTCGTTTTTAGAGTTCAAAAGCTTGAACGCTAGAAAATGTGAAAAGTGCTAATGAGGTTCAAAATAATTGTACTTCCAACGATAACTGGGCAAGTTTGTCGAAGTTCTAGAAGTTATGTCTAAACATAAGTGGGTTAGTTAATTGAAATTAATGAATGCATTTTTAATGAGAAGCACTATGTTATGATACAATCCAGTGAACATTTATAGTATGTTAATGTTAATGGGGGATTTCTTAGTGTCAAATGTAGTGACTATGATGGAGACTTATATAGTTAGTCTTTGAAAAAATTGAGTGGACAAAGGGAATGTTGTCTTCCTATGTTGACTGCAACACCCTACTTCGCTTGCAGTTAAGTCATATGCGATAAGATAAATCTAGTTGACATATATTATGTGTTAGACAATTGTTAATTAAGTTTCTTCCTTATTTGCTACCTTAGTTCATATTGCAAACTAATTTTAACTATAATTTACGTTACTTCTTTATCTTTCAAAGAAGTATTTAAGTAAAATCTTTAAAAACAAGAATAGAAACAGAGAAAAACATTATTTTTCATTACATATTCTATCAAATATTAATTTAATCTATATTTTATTTCTTTTTTGGGGTGGGGAGGGTTTCCCTATAGAGCATGGTTATTGGTTGTTTATTTTTTTTGGTTTATTTATTTATTTATTTATTTATGAAAGACACAAGAGAATACATACTAAAGTTATGTATTTGAGAAAAATTGATTTAAAGATTAATATACAATATTTAAACACAACATGTTCCACGTGCAACGCACGTGTGCATCAACTAGTGTATATTAAACGTGCAATGTGAAAAATCTAATATTTAAGGGTTCAAACTTCAAAGTGCAGCAAAACCTAGTTCCTTTAAATCTTTTGGGGTGAAATGATTTAATAATTAATTTATATAGTTTGACGTAAATTTTAATGAACCCTCAAACTTTTCAAAACTGTAGTCCGATCTCACGACTACTCTCTATTATCTGTTTGATTATAAATAATTTTGACCAAGATTTCTTTATTAAAATTTAATATTTTTTGGTCAAAATATTTTGTTACCAATAAGGGGGAGCCTGTCAAATTGTCGAGGGGATGAGGGTTTGATCTCACGACTACTTTTGTCTCTTTAATTGTCTAATTATGAATAATTTTGACCAAGATATCTTTATAAAAATATCAGTTTTCAATCAAAATATTATTGTATCACTTAAATAATTGTTATGGATCTTTCTCATAATTTAAGGCTGGCCTACAATAATTTTGTAATAATGTGGGTCCTAATGATTGATCAAAGTAAGTTGTATATACAAGTGTAATATTGGACGGTAAAATATCTATATTTATACTACTTATAAATGTCAGTATCTGTGAAAAAATTATGATTTTATATTTTATTCCTAATTATTATATTAAAGTCAATTATAGTTACCTATATACTTTCATCTAATTTTTGTGTTTACTCCTATTGGACTTTTAACTTATTTTGAACTTTTTTTATAAAAACTTCTAAATTCGTTTGAATTCATTTATTAGTAGTACAATTACATACAATTTTCTATTTATATATAAAAAAATAAAATTCTATATATGTTAAATTATTATACGCATGTAATTACCAATTTGAATTATACGGTCAAAAATATATTATATTATATTTTTTAATATGAAATAATATAAAAATATTATAGGCAATCTAATCATCTATTTAATAAAATAAAAATTAATAATTCTATCATATAAATAGATAGACAAATGACTAAAGGAATTGAAGAGATATTTAAATAAATGATAATTAGTAATTCAAAGACTTATAGAATAAATAAATAATTAAATTTAATAATAATTAAAATAAAAATTAATTATTAGGCACTTAATTTATTCTTTAATTTAATTACTTATATAATTCAATTTTTTTTATTAAAAAATATTATTTAAATTTATTTACGTGCAACGTACGTTCTACATCGCTAAAATATAAAAAAAGAAAAAGAAAAAACCAAACTTACACAGCCAGGTACGCGAGGCCATGGTCCATGATCAAAAGCACTGCGGGCAGCTTTGACGGCCAAATCAACGTCTTCCTTGTCTCCTTCCGCAACTCTGGCTATTACTTCTTCTGTTCTTGGATCAATTGTCTCGAATGTTTTACCTGTTCATTAATTTTCAAATTTAGTTTTTTTTTTTGTTTAACCCATATTATTGTCTCTTTCGTTTTGTCTTGTGGGCTCAGATTTCATCATGGGCAGCCATAATAATCAACCTAAGAATATCTCATCCGAATATATAAAATTTTAAAATAATAAAAATTTAGTTAATCAAAGGCAAAAATCGTACTACTCCAATAAAATATGTTCAGATATTCTAAAATAATATTTTGTTATAGTGATACTCTAAATATATAGCATCATTGTAATAAATTGTATAAATATTTATAATTTTTTTTCTCTCCACTGTCATTTCCCATCTCTTTTGTCCACTTTTTATTTCTCTCTCTCTCTCTCTCTCTCCAGTAATCCCAACAAAAGTACAAAAATATATGAAATAATATTTAAAAATAGTTAAAATATATAAAATTTGTTAGAGTATGAATTGAAAAACTGAGTGGTAAAAAAAAAAATGTACTTTTAGATGACTAAAATATAAAACCTTATTTGAGATGCTCTAAAAACAATAATGATATACTTATCAAAACTCCATATTAAAACTCTAATCTCGAAAAACATGTCAAAATTACCATCGGTACATTGGAGTGGAACTCTTTTATATAATGATGATAAATCTGTGAGATCATTTGGGATGAAAGATTTGTTAAACACAACACATAATAAAATGAAAAAGCATAAAATTTGTGAGGAATGACTTAATTGACACAATCATCATAGTTTGAGATATATGTATAGTTTACTCCAACTCACATGATACACTTCACCACTTTTCATCAGAAAAAATGCAGATAGAAACGCTCAATTGATACAATTAGAGCGTTCAAAACTCAATTGACCTAAAAAAAATTTAGAATTTAATTGACACACGAGTTATAATTTGAAGGTCATATATGTAATTTACTCGAACCAAAACATTTGTTTACTTATACCGACTATGGTACTATAAAAAATTGGTAGCGTACAAAAAGATACTACTTTTGAGGATAAAATTATAATTAATCATGAAATATTGTGATTGATTATGAATCTCTATACTTGTGATGGACCATAAATTACCTTAATAAATTGTAACTTTTCTTTAAGAGGTGTATCTCTACTTTTAAAATTACTATTTTCTTGATCGATCATAATATTTTATAATCGATCATAATTTTTTGAATTGTAAATTAAACTCTCAAAAAGTTGCAACTTGCTATCAAAAAATAGTAAATAATTATAACTCAAACCTTAAAACCTTTGGTTTTAGAGTCGTTCCCACATATTGTGAAGAAGTAATCACAAAAACACTAAAATTCTTCTATATACACATTAATATGGGGGGTAGTTTAACATGTTGGTGATCCAGTGCCAGAAAATCACATCTAACACAATATAAACAAAGAGAAATATTTTATTTTTCTCTAAGGAAATAAATACAAAAATTTTTCACAAGAAAACTTTCAAAACCTCTCCGAGATCTCTCTCTCTTTGTTTTGTCCCCACTATTTTAGAATGATTTTGGGCTCTCTATTTATAAGTACTTTCTAACAAACCTCTCCGGGAAACATGAAGATGATATGGGAACTGTGATCACAAGTAGTCGTCTTCTTATAGAGGGGGGTTTCAAAGCATAAAAGAGAAATGAGAATTAAGAATCAAATATGTGAAAAGCTAGAGACAACTCATGAAGGGAAAGCATTTTGTCTGGTACAGAAGAGAGAGAAAAACTTGAAATGGAGTCAACGAATTTTCCATTGATGAAAAGCTTCGCGAACTTTATCTCTGGAACCTTAATAAAAGACTCTGTGCTTCCTTTGCTCTGCACCGCCATCTCTCTCTCTCTCTCTCTCCTTTTATTAATAGTGGCAAATAACCAGAAATTTTATATATAAAGAGACAAGGGTTGGAGACCATATGTTCTACTCTATCATTGGCCTCGGCGGCATCGATTGAGGCAAGGTTGAAATTTTAACTGAAATGTTAATAATATTTAGGCTTTTAATATCTAACAAGACAATTTTTTTAATAAAGAAAAATATTATTTAGACTTAATTCGGGGACCTAATTAAATTATAATAATTAAGTTGAAAGTGAACTCCATTTAACATTAAAATTTAGAATTAATTCAATGATTGCATTAGATTAGGTTTTTATAGCATTGCTCTTTACTAGTGTGTAAATAATACCTATTTTTTGTATTGTATTGCAGAAACACTAAATTTTTTTAGGTCAAGTTATAATTTTTTAAAGTGTTTCAGATTGAGCTTAATATTTAGGATTGATATCGAATATCATAAAAAGTTATATCTGACTCCCAAAATTATATAATTTGATCTCAAAAATTGTATGTTATAAAAATCAATCTTACCATTTTAGAATTGATTGTAATTTTTGTAATGTAATAACCCCTAAAAAGTATTAACCGAATCTATAAAAATTATAATTTTTGATATAATTTGTCATTCAATTGTTTACATAAATCAAAGAGTTGCACCATTTAGTATCACGATATAGTTACACTAATTATATATATCAAATTTCGTATAATTCTAAAGTCCTTTGTGTAATAATAAACTCAATTTGATGTATATAATTGATGTAACTATGTTGTGATACTAAATAATGCAACTCTTTTATTTATGTAAATAACTGAATGAGAAATTGAGTTAGAATTGTAATTTCGTGTAATTGTTTAGTATAATTGTTTGATATATTAGAACATACGAAGTAACTATTTGATATATTATAGGGTAACTTGATTGGTGTAATGGTTTTGTTGTAAAGTTGATATAAGAGAAGAGAGAATAAGTAGAAAAAGAGTAACAGTGAGAGAAGAAAATAGAGGGAGGGAGGGAGAGAGGCAAAATAGGGGAGTGAGAGATAAAAAAAAATTAAATCAAATCTTTATATATTTGAAAAAAAAATATCAATGTAAGAGAGAGAAAATAGGACAGAGAGAGTAATATGGAGAGAGAGAGACACATGGAGTAGTAAATGACCTTTTAGGTTTTTTTCAAAAAAATACACTTAGAGTCAAATAAGTTTCTTTAATATAGTTTAGCTCAATTAAATCCAAATTTTTGTACTAACTTCCAAATTTTCCAAAAATTTTAGGATAATTTGAAGGTCGGTACATATTATAGGACTTATTAGGCTCGAAGTCCATTAAGGAAAATATTTTGGGTAGAAGTCCAATTCTGATTTGAATGGCTATTATAACCATATTGTGAAACTTGAGCAAGCATGCATGGTATGTAAAAAAAATTAATTAATTAATTATATATATAATTTAAAATACATATATTTATGAAATTGCCCCTCCCACAAACATCTCACATGGAGGAAGTAAGAGGTTGCACTTGGTGGTGAATGATAGCATGCAAAGCCAACGTTACGTGTCCATTGGGGTTGTTTAAATAATCTAGGAGTGGATGAGAACGAGCAGAAATAAAGAGAGAGGAGATAGAAAGGTTGAAAAAGAAGACAATTTGGACTTTTGGGTTTTTAACTTAGGGCATCTCAAACTCCAAACTCAACTTGGTAATGCTTTATTTTTCAAAAGGAGTTCATCGCTGTAGTTGGATTTAAGGTTCATGTAGTGTAGATGTACGAATTTGAATTTTAAGTTTAAAGTGGATTTTAATATTTGAAATAAGTCTTATAAAAAGATAAACCTTCCTTCTTCAATTGAGTCTTGAATTGTGTTTTTGGGTTGTTTTTTTATTATTTTTGGGGAGTGGTTTTAGGGATTGTCTTGGAGTGGTCTTAATAGGATAATAAACTTTTAGCCAGATGATTTAGGCCCTCGATTAAGTGGCCGGGTAGACATGGCTCATCATGTGTTGGTGGCCTATCTAATCTAAGATAGAAAGGTGCAAGGACGGACCGCCGAAAGTTGCGGAGAATAATGTCTTTGTACGCAAAGCAAATGAAGGAGATTGGATAACGTTGCTTTCCATAGCCTATTACTCATATGTTAGATGTTGCGCACACTTCAGATCCGAGAATCAAAAGGCATCTTTAAACATATTCTCTCCAAGTTCTTGTCAAGCATGTTGGTCAATGGAATACTCACTTCTTGTTTGAAACAAGCATTAATAAATATCAACGACGTCGGTGGTTCCATAACAAAATGCATGGTGGGTTGCAAGACCTTGAATTGGGAAAGTGGGTTGATGAGGGACATTGGAAGGGGTTTGATCAGTCCAAGTTGTCAATATTAGTGCATGGATCTCTAATTGTTGGCTTTCAGCACTCTAGTGTGGCCCACCATTTGAACTGCACACATCATGCTAGCTAGCTGGCTACAATACACCATCGTGGATTAATAGCTTACTTGTCGCAGTTTTTTTATGACTTTCAAAGTCACTGGAGTTTTCCATATGCTTCTAGCATTTCCCAGTACTATAATATCAGGGTATGTTTGATTACGCCGAAAATACGTAGATATTTTTGAAACATAAGTTCTTTGAGTAGGTAATTTATAGTATATCAAATCAACGTTCAAATCTCAGACAAGTCTATATCTTACATATACATGCTTGTTCTAAAATCTAACTCACATACGAGGGACATAGTAGAACTCCAAAGGCTTTTCCAATCACAACATGATTATTCACAATTGTGAATTGGTTAGCTCTTGAATACTTTCTGTAAATATGAACAAAGAGCAATGTTATGCACATCAAAAGTGTGCACCAAATCAGCTACAATCGTTAAATCAGTGACTGCAGATGATTTAGTGCACATTTTGATACGTACTTGTGGTGTATATAGTTTTATTTTAAACAAAATGTAATTAACCCATAAAAGGAAAGGAAATAGAAAATGCTCCACATTCCTTTTACTTAGATTAAAATGCTCTAAACATGGATGGAAAAATGCTTAGCTGAAACAGAGGCTGTGCTTATCTGATTCCTATTGAGGCATCTCAACTTGGTGGTGAATAAAGTGAAAGGAGCCACAGACAATTGAATACGGCCTATTTCTTTTCATATTTGTCTGGTGCTCTACATGAAATTAATTTCTCATCTTAGCCAGACTCCTGGTTTCTCTGGCCACATACCACAAACCAAACAAATTTGCAAAAACAAGGAAATTCCATCAAATGCTCTCTCTCTCTCTCTCTCTCTCACACACACACACAGGTTACCAACTGCATAGTTATCCTCCTGTTTACACCACTAAATAGAATATGGGTGAGAAACAACTAGAAATAAATACCAATATGGATTGGACTACAAATAGAAGGAATGGTTCAATCTAAGAAGAAGTAAAGAATTGAACCAGGCAAAACCATAGCATCTTAGCTAAGAGCTGTGTAAGTACTAATATGTAGTTTGCAAGTTAATTTAGCTCTGTGCGTGTGTGTGTGTGTGAGAGAGAGAGAGGGGGGGTAATATACTAAGCAACGAATATAACTTCCTATTAAAACTTCCACAATAAAAGATAAAAAATTATAAGCACAACAATAAGATTATAACATATATCTTACACCACCGTTTTCTTCGAAAACTTGCTGGACGGATCGGAAAAGCGAACGGAGAAGGATCGGGAGAGATTCTCCGGTACCACCCAAGTCAAGCCTTGGTCGAAATTCTGAGAATAATTGTGCTCATCATACGAGAATTGAGCTTGACCATGCTTCCTTTTCTGATCTTTCAAGAGCTTCTTCCATAGCAATTTCCACATCTGGTTTTTCAATCCCGTGGTTGTGGTTGGTCCGTTCACGGCTTCCAGCTCATCGTAGTTGGCGTTGCAGCCCAGTTGGATGGCTCTAGCACCGGAGCAACACCAGTTTCTGACGTCCATTGCACAATGGAACCAAGGTCTGTGCAAGTGGAGCTTGGGACCCAAGTACTAGAAGTGCCCTTCGGGTCAAAAAACGGATATAATTTGTTCACAAAATCAAGCTAAAATTTTAGGTTATAATAATATTATTCTCTGACTTATCCATTAGTTGTACCATATTCAAGGAGACATGAATAACACTTCAAAAAAACACAAGACGAATATTCTGCAAAACGCAGAACTGGTATCCTCTTATCTCCCACCATAACCCATCAGTGGAGGGCCCTACGAGCAAAAAATAAACTCAATCCTGATGCTCGGAAAATCAAGTAAAAATTTTCTAATTCAATCAGGTTAATGCAATATCAGATCTAATGAATATAAAAGGCAAAACAAATATCTATTGGATAAATTTGACTGACACCCTTTGAATTTAATTCATATTTCACTAACAACCCCTTTAGTTTTTGAAATATCACTGCATACTTTGTGTCATTTTTTGTGCCCTAATAGAATACATAATTTTAGTAAATTACCCTTACTAGAACCCCCATTTTATTTAATTACCCTTACTCAAATTAATACAAAAAATAATCTATAATTTTATCAAATTAAAATCAAATTGACCTTTAATTTTGTTTAATTAATATTCAATTTTATTCAACTATTATTAGTTAACACCAAATTAATATTCAATTTCATCAAATCAGTATTAAATTAATATTAAATTTTATCAAATTAATATTAAATTTTGCCAAATTAACATTCACATTCATCAAATTAGCATTCAATTAAACCAATTAACGTTCAATTTTATCAAACTAATACCAAATTAATAATCAATTTCGTCAAATTAGTACTAAATTAACATTAAATTTTACCAAATTAACATTCACATTCATCAAATTAGCATTCAATTCATTTAATTAACATTCAATTTTATCAAACTAATACCAAATTAATATTTAAGTTCATAAAATTAATACTAAATTAACATTCAATTTTATCAAAACCATATTAAACTTCATCAAATTAACTAATAAAATTAATATTCAATTTTTTCTAATTAAACACCAAATTAACTATCAATTTTATCAAATTAGCATTAAAATTCATCAAATTAATACAATATTTTACCAAATTAACGTGAAATTGATTTTAAATTTTATAAAATTATCATTTTATTCCAGCAAACTAATATTCAATCTCATCAAATCGATATTCAATTTTATAAAATTAACACCAAATTAAAATTCAATTTCATCAAATTAACATTTAATGTTATCAATTTAACATCCAATTTATCAAACTAACATAATTTTTTTGATTGAATTTCAAATTAAAATTCAATTTTATCAAATCAATACCAATGGTCATTCAATTTTATAAAATTAACATTTAATTTTTTGAATTTAATATTTAGTTTTAACAAATTAATATTATTTTTTTAAAAAAATTTTTATAGGAAACATTCTATTTAACCCAATTAATATTTAATTAAATTAAATTAATATTAAAAGGATGTTTACTACTATTTTAAATTTATTTTATATGACCAAGGGTAAATTTGATAATTTCTAAAAGAATAAATCATCACATCACATTAACGATAGTTTGTGAAACGTTTATATAAATTATAAGGGTGTGCAGTGATATTTCAAAAATCAGAGGGAATGTCAATAAAATATGACTTAAATCCAAAGAGTGTCAATGAAATTTATCAAAAATTATTAATTTAGTGAGTTTATGGTGTCAATCAAAAGTCAATTTTATGTGACATTAATTTAGTGGGTTTGTCGTGTCGAGCTTAATCAATCCTAACATGTGTCGCGACCATTTAATAGTTCATATTAGAGGCTTTATCATTTAAACTTCGAGTGGAAACTTGACACACCAAATCCACCACATCATGCATACAGCCCACAGTAAGAGGGGTTGAATGGCTTTTTCAAGACTAGAACAGTCTACATCGGCTTGCTGCAGGTGTAAATATGTGAGTTGGCTGGGTTAAGTTTGACTGAAAAACGGTGATGCAACCAAAAAGTGTTGTTCACATCTTATTGACGCAGAAATAAATAATTTAACCGTAAAGGAAACTCAAGTAGTAAAATAAATAAAATGTAAATTCAGACGTCTTGAATTTGAATTTTAATAATTTTTTAGAGTCAAGTTATAATAGATTTATCTCTCATGAATACTCTAATTCCGGAGTGGATAACTTGTCTTTGACCGTCGAACCAAAAATAAAAAATAATAATTTGCTTAACAAAAAACTTTGAAAAATGTTATTTGGATCTAATTCGAGAATCAAATCAATTACAGTTGTTGAATTGAATGCGACTGTCATCTAATATTAAAACTCATAACTAATTTATTAATATATTGAATTAGATATCAGATTAAGTCTCCAAATTAAGTCTTTATTATAACATTGCTCAAAAACTTTTACCCAAAAAGTATAACAATGTGAATGGTTGAAGCAGTGGATTTCATTAGAAAACGTTAACATGACCCACTAATCCAATCATTTACATTGATTTGATAAATTTTGGGTAATTTATTTTTTGGGATAAATATAGCTTTATTCTACATAAAAATGCAAGTAATATTGGGATGTCTTTCTTTATTCTACTAGAAGCATGTGATGCACGTGACTGAGAGGACGATATGTTGGACTGTTTCAATGCTTGACGAACGACATTCCATGTGGAAGCTCGAAGGCTTTGCCTGATCAGAGGGTACAAATGCACATATATAAATTTTGGACCTGGGCCAGCTGATCGAGCCGTGGCCCATCAATATATTAATCCCATTAGGTTGGCGGCCTAACACTCAACCGATGAGCCCTCCCATAGGCCGTGGTATTTCGTACTGGATGGGCCAGGGCTCCGACCGAACCCTAATCCGTTTTTGAGAAATTAGTTTAATAACTTAAGAGTTTTTAAATGATAACAGAGACAAGTTATAAATTCAGACGTTTTGAATTCGAAACTTGATAATTCTTAGGGATCAGGTTATGAGGGATTTATCCGTCATAAATACCTCAATCTCGACGTTGATGGCCTACCTTTAATCAGAACGAATAGAAAATTATTCGAGATATACATAAGTTGACTTACATATACTTGACTGTTAAAAAGAAAAGATAAGAAACGAAAATTAGTTTAATGCCTATGTTTGTGATCTCTTTGAATAAGGTGGTATTTTTTCCGATTGGTTTGGCACGAGGAATAAGTGGAGGGATAAAAAAAAAAGGAGAAATGAATAAGATTATAAAGGAAACTGAAAGAAATTAAAAGTAAATAATTTTCCTATTGATCTACAAAATATGTTGGATAAATTTATGTCATACCAGGATATAATGGTAAAATAAACACGGGTACATTTTACTTCTTTTCACTTTTTTATTCATTTCAAACATAAATGATCTCTCTCTCATCAAACAAAAATGATGAATAAAAGATTTCTTTCCCTTCGAAGAAAAAAATAGTATCCCTTCTAACTTTCACTACTTCCATTTTTCTATTTATTCCCCTAAATAGACTTTCTACTTTCATTATAATCATGATTATGGGTGTTCACCCTACCCTACGGGTAGGAAATTTATTATTCTGCATTCCTACCCAATATTTTGCGGAAGAATTTTTTCTTACTCTATCCTACCCGATCAGATGTAGTATTTCTATCCGACTTCCTACCCGATTAATCGGGTAGGAAGTCGGGTAGGAATGCAGATAAACATTTTTGTAACTATTAAGTTTTGAATAATTTTAACAATTTAATTAAATAACATGTACCATGTTAACAACACAATAAATCAATAATACTAAAATCTAAAACAATTACAACAACAATTATAATTGTTTTAGCTATCAATCCACCATAATTGTTACAAAGACAATCCACTATAATTGTTAAACAAATACAATCCACCATAATTGTTACACAAATACAATTCACCATAATTGGTACACAAACACAAATACATTAAAATCATAACTACTTCGCCTGTGCTAGTTCACCACAAATTATGTAATCTACACAAAAAATAAATTAATATTTTAGCAACTCAAATATCCACAACAATAACAAATACTCTTATAATTACTAAAAAAAATATAAAAAAGTTAAATAGCACATTTTTTGCTAGTGTCATTCACCTCTCTTCACTCAAGAGAAATTGAAATTGTTTCTGCAGTTATTTTTAAGATAAAAAAGAGTATGAAAAAAAAATTAGATATGAAGAACTTATCAACAAATAATAAAAAAATAACAATAAAAGTGTAAAAACCTGAATCTAGTTTATAGCTTTTTGAATCATCCAAAACATCTTCAAAGTCATAAGCAATGGATGACGATTGAAGCCAATTTTGTGCACATATGAGACCCTCAACTGTTTTGGGTGCCAGACAACTCCGAAAATGATCTAAAATACGACCCCGAGTGCTAAAAGTTGATTCTGATGCCACCGTAGAAATGGGAATAGCTGACACATCAGGAGCTATTTTGGCAAGGATTGGGAATTTAGAAGAATTAACCTTCCACCAATTCAAAATATCAAAATTGGCGCTAACAAATTCAACATCCTCCATCAAATATCGATCCAACTCTGATTTGTTGTCCACATTACCTTTCTCAGCCCTATACTTGCGATACCTATTTATGAAATTTGTAAGTACTTGATCTTGAACAGACATCTCAGTCGAAGACACATTTTTCTCATGGTCAACACTTGACTCCACTCCACACCCCACACTAAAGATAGTGTACTGTTGGCATAATCGGTCAATGACCTTTTTGATCTTTTCAACTAATTGAACCTTAACTACTTCATCCTCAGCCTGGTAATTGTCATTGTGCCAAAATTCTAAAGCATCCAATTTATAACGTGGGTCAAGGACAATAGCAACAAACAACATCAAATTAATATTATCTAANTAAGCCAAAATTTTAAAGCATCCAATTTATAACGTGGGTCAAGGACAATAACAACAAACAACATCAAATTAATATTATCTAAATGGCCCCAATATTTATCATACTTGCTTTTCATTCTCATAGCCATGGTACTCAAAAGATAGTCATCATCTTCACAATAACCTTGCAAATGATAATACACAATAGAAAATTCTTGAAAAAACAAGTTAGATGTGGTATACAATGATCTAGAAATGCGCAAAG